TCGGTATGGGCCATAGCCTACGCGCTGCAACGCTACAGTGGCGACCTTTCGAGGGCTCGTACTTCACAGAAGCTTCCTGTCTGGGGGGCGACAGAGAACCACAGCCTTTCAAGCTCTCTTGGAAGCTCTCAGTCTCTGAGCCATGCTGGGGAACATGTTTAGGCCTCGTAGGCGAATCCGAGGCCTGCAGCCAGGCGCACGCACAGATAAAACACAAAAGCAGGTTCGGACTCTCATTGATTGTAGCATTTCTCCATGGAGGCGCTGGGTCCACCTTGCAATAACGCTGGCGAACATACAATGGAGACCCATGCGAAGAAACACCCTGCTTGCCTCCAGGGTGCCCCGGGTGTCTTGGGTTTCGCCGGTTTTGCGCTGGACAGCGTGACGTGCCCACATCGAAAATCAGTGGACGCCGTGGGATCTCAGAATTGGGTTTCTAGCAGATGGTTCTTTGTGGTCGAGCCCCTACTGCATGAACAACAAATGGGCCGTACCCCACAGATGGCGCTCTGTGTGCGCATGCTGTGCTACACAGCTTTCAAGTTGCGAGGGAGAGACAACTGCTCGGGGTCCACGCTGCCAGTCGCTGCAGGAGGTTATGTCGACACACGTTGGGGCCGTCGTGAGCCACCCTGGAGAGTACCCATCGGTCGTTGAAAGTAGGTATGTTTGGATTCCCAGATTCCAATCTATTTTCAGCGCCTTCCTACTTCAAGAGTCGCGTGCTTTTCCTTATTCCCTCCTCTTCAGGAGGCGGGCGGAAATCCAATATATTTCCAACGCCTTCCTACTTCATGTTTCTACCTGCTTCTTCCGACCGATGGGTTGCTTGCGCGGCAGTACCGGCCAGCACAGGGAAAGGGGCGCAAAACAAGGGCGCGAACACCTCGAGGCGCCCAGTTCAGGTCCACAGAGACGATCGGGGTGGGCGTAAAGGGGGGAGTTGGGGAAAGGGTAGGGTGCGAGGAGGAGGAGGAGGAGGAGGAGGAGGAGGAGGAGGAGGAGGAGGAGGAGGAGGGGTGCAAACATCTGCTCCGTGAAGGGAGAAGCTTCGAGGAGGTGTCTCTCCGCTTGTCCGCCCCCAGGGGCCCGCTTCGGGGCCCCGAGGCCGTGGAGCAGGCATCCAGGGTGGACAAAATGACCAAGGAGGGCCATGGGAGTAATCCAGGGAGGAGGAGGAGGAGGAGGAGGAGGAGGAGGAGGAGGAGGAGGACGACGAGGAGGAGGAGGAGGAGGAGGAGGGAGGAGGAGGAGGATTGTGTCGGCGGCGAGCCTAGGGGGAAGACAGATGGGGCGGGGATTTTCAGAAGGCTCGGAAGGCCTCCTGCCTTCTGAGCAGTTTCCCAGGCTCTCTTCGAAGACACAGGCGGCTTCTCAGAGACAGCTTCCCCACCTCGGGACCTCCGCCGCCCCCATGGGGGGCTTGCGATCTGCGCAACTGTCGCCACTTTCGTGGGCTCCTGGGAGGCCCAGCGGAGGTGGGTCCCACGCGGACCACCTCGGGACCTCGTCGCCCCCTGGGGGGCTTGCGATCTGCGCTGCTGTCGCCACTCCTCGTGGGCTCATGGGAGGCCCAGCGGAGGTGGGTCCCCCCCCGCGAAGCACCGGCCGAGGCACCCGCGTGATGCCACCAACGGCGTATCGGCCGAACGTGGAGAGGTGCAGAATTATCCAGGCCTACCACATGGGCTCCGAGCGGGGGGGGCGGTCGACGCATTGCCGACTTCGCCGATGTATCGGCGACGCGTTGGTGATGCATTGTCGATGCGTCGCAGTCTTCCGACCTCATTTGCTCGGACCCCATTTGGGAGCCCTCCGCAGTGCACCATGGAGATTGTCCTGGCGAAGGGATGCAGGCGTGAGCGCCGCAAGGCGAGTGAACAGAGAGGGGTGTGCTGAAATGAACGGGACGGCATGCGGACCCTGCAACTGGGGCCTTCGACCAGGGATAAGGCACAGCATCTCACCATGGATAGAAATTGTTCTTATACGCAGCCCTCGGTAAGGTCAGTTGCTCTTCTGTTATAGCCATGCGTTCGTGCCAGCCGTGCGTTCGAACAAATCGTGTGAGGGTTCGTGCGAGCCCGATTGGTCCACAGTCTTCCAGAGAGGCATCCGCAGGCGGTCGAAAAGGCAGGCAGGTGAGCCGCCTGGTGGTTCACCCGTCTGGGCGATGCCTCGCTCGGCTGGGCCCAGGAGCTTGGACGCCCATGAGAAGCTCAGCAGTAGTCTCGCTGAGCCGTGCTCCAAGCCCCTCACCACGGCCAGGAGACGATACCTCACCAATTTCGAGCTTGGGAGATATCCCAAGGATCAGGTTTCGAAGGTTTCGAACCGAGCGAAGGCCTCGTAGTTCGTTTCCTTTCCTTTCATATCGCACCGCGATGGAGCCCATTCCCATTCCCATTCCCCCCCTGTGCAGGACCTGCCAGTGGGGGCACCCCGGCTGGACCCGGAGGCCGTGCTGGCGCTCCGGGCCTTTGACCCCTCGCAGCAGGCGGCGGCCCCACGCGGAGCGGCGCAGGGCAGGTGGAGGCAGAGGGCCGTCGGGGAGCAGGGGGGGGCAGGAGGGGCGGGGAGGAGGAGGAGGAGGAGGAGGAGGAGGAGGAGGAGGAGGAGGAGGAGGAGGAGGAGGAGTGGCGGGGAGGCGTGCCCCCGACCTGGATGTGCAAGTGAGGTGGCCAAGAAGATGTGATTCACTCTCTGTGCTGTGAGTTGTGCTGCGCAGGCTATGTGGTGCAGGCTATGCGGTGGAAGCCGCGTGGTGCGAGCTAAGTGGTGCAAGCTCCGTGGTGCAAACTCTGTGATGTACGTTCTGTTGTGTGAGCTGCATGGTGTATGCCACGTGATGCAGGCTATGTGGAGCAAGCTGTGTGGCGCTCACTGAATAACGCCCACGACGTGCCTACGGCCGCCCACCAGGCGAGACCGCGCCACACCCGCCCAGCGCACGGGGTGTCCACTAAGCGCTCACTGCCACCCACCAGGCGAGATCTCACCGCATCCGCCCAGCGCACAGAGCGCCGACGAGGCGCGCACTGCTGCCCACTAGGCGAAACCTCACCACAAGGACCCTCTTCTGATGATGATGACGATGATGATGATGCTGATGATAAGAAGGGGGAGGAGGATCATGATCATCTTATGATGAATATTACGATGCTGATGATGATGATGATGATGATGATGATGATGATGATGATGATGGTGGTGGTGATGGTGGTGATCGTGATGATGAGGGTGGTGATGCTGATCATGATTATGATGCTGATGATGATGGCGATGCTGCTGCTGATGATGGTGGTGGTGATAATGATGGCGATGATGATGCTGCTGCTGATGAAGATGATGCTGAGGATGATGGTGATGTTGATGATGATGATGATGATGATGACGATGCTGATGATGTTGATGATGATGTTGATGATGATGGCGATGGTGATGATAATGATGCTGATGCTGATGCTGATGTTGATGCTGATGCTGATAATGATGGTGATGCTGATAGTGATGGTGATGATGATGATGACGATGACGATGACGATGACGATGACGATGATGATGATGATGATGATGATGATGATGATGATGATGATGATGATGATGATGATGATGATGATGATGATGATGATGATGATGATGATGATATGCTCTCAAAGCTCGGTTGGCCTGAAAGGGGTTCAGGTCAATGACTTGGCCTCGGCTCGGTCGGGACTGTGCCGAACCCGCCTGTGGCCTCGCTGGCGGGAGGCGCTCTCTCTTCACATCGACCTCCGTGGGGCCACTTCTGGGTCCCGGGGGCCATCCAAGACGGATCCGGGGCCCAAAATTGACCTTGGGGAAAAGTCGGTCGGGAGCTCTTGCGTCGCGAATCGAAAACAATAAGCACACACACACACGAACATACACACACACACACACACACACACACACACACACACACACACACACACACACACACGCACACACGCACACACACACACACACATACACGCACACACACACACACACACTTTGTTGCACAGCGGGTTGATCCAACGCAGCGAGTGAGAAGACGGGGCATTCCTAACTTGGATTGCCACCGAATGTCTGCCAGTGGGGGGTCAGGACGCCAGAAACGTATCTGACGCGCGTAGGATTCTAGATGAGCCGAGCCGAAGCGGAGTGCACACACACACACACAGACTTTTTTGCGTCGGCGGCTAGGCAGAGTGACTGCGCCGGCGATGTCGCCTAAGTGGGGCACACACAACGCGAAGTCAGCCGCCGTGCACGGGGGAGGGAGGAGGACGCCCCGTGCGCGGGCAGAAGGAGGCGGGCAGACTTTTTTGCGTCGGCGGCTAGGCAGAGTGACTGAGCTGGCGATGTCGCCTGAGTGCGGCGCACAGAACGCGAAGTCAGCCGCCGTGCACGGGGGAGGGAGGAGGACGCCCCGTGCGCGGGCAGAGGGAGGCGGGAGGCCGGGCCCCGCTCAGAGCGGGGCCAGGCGTCGGCGGGGCAGCGCCGGGGGGCAGGGGCCAGCGGCGGCGAAGCAGCCTCCTCCTCTCTCCTCCTCTCCTCCTCCTCCTCCTCCTCCTCCTCCTCCTCCTCCTCCTCCTCCTCCTCCGGGGTTCAGAACAGGCGGCGGCGAGAAGCGGCGCCAGGGGGGGGGGCAGTGCCCAGCACGGGCTGGGAGCGAGGGCAGCGAGCAGCGAGAGGCCGAGGTGCCGAGGTCTCACGTGTGGCCTGCGAGGCGCCCAGGGACAGCGACGAGGGCGAGAGCACCACCCGGCCGGCGAAAGGACAGCGACGGACAGCGAGCCCACCAGCCAGGGAGCGGCGGGCGGCGCCCCGCCCGAGGTGCGAGGTCGCGGTTGCCACTGAGGCAGCGCGAGACCGCCCTGCCAGGACGGCAGGGGCGAGGGGGGCGGCCGGGGAGGAGAGCGTGCCAGGCGCCGAGGTCAAGCGTGGCCTACGAGGCAGCCCTGGTCGAGACAGCCGACCCGAGGCGGGGGGCAAAGCGGGGAGGAGGCGCGACACACATACACAAACAGACACACACACACACACACACACACACACACACACACACACACACACACACACACACACACAACACGCACAACAACACACACACACACACACACACACACACACACACACACACAACACACGCACACAACACACACACACACACACCCACACAACACACAACACACACGCACACACACACACACGTACAGACATACAGACGAACATAAACACGCACACATGCACACACCTACACACAACACACACACAACACACAGCACACACACACACACACACACGAACACAGACACACACACACACACACACAACACACACACACATACAACACACAAAATTACTCCGACGGGAGGACCCCACATGAGAATATGTTCAGCTTGCCCTTGGCCCTTTCCTCTTCGCCCTGGCAGACACCCTCCTCTCGCCCTCTGCTCTGGCTCTCCTCCTCCTCCTCCCTCTCCCTCCTCCTCCTCCTCCTCCTCCTCCTCCTCCTCCTCCTTCTATTTCCTCTCCTCCTCCTCCTCCTTCTATTTCTTCTCCTCCTCCTCCTCCTTCTATTTATCCTCCTCCTCCTCCTCCTTCGATTCAGGCCTGAGGGGCCCAAAAGTCAGGACAGTTACAGGATGCCGATGACCCGCCTCGGATTAGAACATGAAATGCAGGCCCCTGAGGGAGGGAGCTCCCGCCTGAGACTTCCTCACAATTCACTCACTGACGAGGCTCCCGCCTCATACTTCCTCCATATTCAAGCCTGAGGAGCCCAAGAGTGAGGACAGTTACAGGATGCCGATGGCCCGCTTCGGATTCAAACATGAAGTGCGGGCCCCTGAGGGAGGGAGCTCCCGCCTGAGACTTCCTCACAATTCACTCACAAACGAGGCTCCCGCCTGATACTTCCTCCATATTCAAGCCTAGGGAGCCCAAAAGCAACGACAGTTACATGATGCTGATGACCCGCCTCGGATTCGAACATGAAATGCAGGCCCTTGAGGGAGGGAGCTCCCGCCTGAGATTTCCTTACAATTCGCTCACTGACGGGGCTCCCGCCTGATACTTCCTCCACGCTCAGGCCTGAGGAGCCCAAGAGTGAGGACAGTTACAGGATGCCGATGACCGGTCTCGGATTGAAACATGAGGTGCGAGCCCTTGAGGGAGGGAGCTCCCGCCTGAGACTTCTTCACAAGTCACTCACAGACGAGGCTCCCGCCTGCGACATACTCCATGTTCAGGCCTGCGGAGCCCAAAAGTGACGACAGTTACAGGAGTCCGATGACCCGCCTCGGATTCAAACACGAAGTGTGGTCCCCAGAGGGAAGGAGCTCCCACTTGAGATTTCCTCACAATTCACTCACAGACGAGGCTCCCGCCTGATATCCCCTCCATATTCAGGCCTGAGGAGCCCAAAACTGAGGACAGTTACAGGATGCCGATGACCCGCCTCGGATTCGAACATGCGGTGCGGTCCCTATAAGGAGGAGGCTCCCTCCTGAGACCTCCTTGCAGTTCGCTCACCGACGAGGCTCCCGCCTGAGACATCCTCCATTGTCATGCCAGGGGGTGAGTGATGACGAAATGATGAGTGAGTGAAAAATGATGGTGAGTGAGTGAATGAGTGAGTGAGTGATGATGATAATTGTGACGATGAGAAGTGGGTGTGTGAGTGTGTGGTTGAGTGAGTGTGAGTGTAAGTGAGTGTATGTGTGCGATTGATGAAAATGATGATGATGATGATGATGATGATGATGATGATGATGATGATGATGATGATGATGATGATGATGATGATGATGATGATGATGATGATGATGATGATGATGATGATGATGAGATGATGATGATGATGATGATGATGATGATGATGTGATGATGATGATGATGATGTGATGATGATGATGATGATGATGATGATGATGATGATTGATGATGCAGTGAGGAGTGAGTGATGACGGGGGAGACAGGGGGGTGAGGGAGGATTGCGCGGGGAATCCAGAGAAAACCAGAGCCCCACTTGGGATGTGGGGCAAACCGTCGGGGCCGAGGCCATGCACGTGGAGGAGGCACAAGCAGCACAGGCACAGAGCAACGCACGGAGGACGCCCCGCCGCCCGCACCAGCGCTGCCGTCCGCAGCTGCCACGGCCCCCGCGCAGCCTCCGCCGCCGCCCCGGCGGAGGCCGCGCGCGCGCGCGGGCGCTCGCCCCGGGGCGGCGAGAGGCGTGCCCCTGCGCGGGCCGCGGGCCCTCCCCTGCGAGGCCCCTTCGGGTCGTGAAGAAAACACGATAGGAGGCTTCTCTCGTTCTGTGCGGAGGAGGGCGGAGGGGGGAGGGGAGGAGGAGGACGAGGAGGAGGAGGAGGAGGAGCGAGAAAGCGAGGAGGAGGAGGCGGAGGAGGAGGAGTGAAAAGCTGGGGGCGCCCTGTGCCAGGGGCACCTTCTATAGCAGCCCCCGAACACCCTTCAGAGCCGCCGGCT